ATAAGCTGCAGCTGCCCCAAACAGACCCTAAGTTTCATATTTAACTTATCACCCAATCCGCCCATACTTTATGCAACACGAATTATCAACTTTAATCGATAAACAGAGCACGATCACTTACCTCATGCTCTATTGCCTCTCCAATGTGGATAGCAGCTTGCACCACCCGAACGCACCCCTCCTCTGGCCCCATCATCAGTAACCCCATCATCTTATGCATCACAATCACCGCTAGCTTATCAGCTGGCAACAGGCTCAAATGGTGTGCATAAGCCGCCTTATGTCTTTTTCCCTTCTCCAGCTTCACATCCTTCTCAATTGCACTCCGCAGCGGCTCAAACCATCCCAGGAACAAAGACTTCACATAAGGCAAGTTAGGAGCGAGCTTCTTCTCAAGCATCACTCGCTCCAACTCCTTATACTCCTCCGCTGCTCTCTCCCACGCCTCTGTTTCAGCCTTCACCTGCCTCCTCCTAAGAGATTTGTACTTCTTCCTCGCCACATCCAATGATTCGCGAACACTCGCCAGATCATCAAAACGCGGCATCCATAGAGAGTCTGTACGGAAGATCCTTTCTAGGGTTTGTCCAGGCAAAATGAGGGACCGATCATATCCCAGCCATGGAAAATCTATCCGCTCATCTTGTAAAACAACTGGATCGTAGATAACAGGGGATTCAAGCGTTTTCATGTGCGAAAAGGCAGTTGGAAATTTGAGCTCTGGTTCCAAGGAATCTGAGCCGAGAGGGAATGGAGATGAATCGAGCGAATTTAGCGCAACAAAGCTGGGGATGGAGTTTGAGGAACTCGTATTATTGAAAAAAGGGTCAATTAAACGAGGAATCTTGGTCTGATGCTGCTCTCCTCTTCCTTTATATTGCCTCGAAATGCGGTTTTCCCATGTAAGCACTGGGAGGAAGGAAGCACAGGAAGCCATTGATGGGAGCAATGGCAACTGGGGAGTGGATAGAGCGGCAAAAGCCCCTCCTAAACCCCTTGATATTTTAGGAAAAATTTTCTGTCGGGACTCTACTTCGGA